CTAATACACACACACACACACACACACACACACACACACACAGATGCACCCATTCACACATGACTATATTCATATATTGGGACACACCGATATGCATGCATACACACACATGTGCATAAATACATCCACATATACAGAAATATTGGCCTATACATGCATCTTCACGCAAGCATACAAGCATTCACGTACACTCACTGCACACTTTCATATGTGGGCATAAATTGATATATTGTTAGATTGATGTGTATGTAGACATGCACACTTGCTCACACGGGGTGGATGGTGTGAATAGTGGGACGATGTGGATGAGGAGGATGAGGTGAGTGAAGCGACGCCGTTCGAGTGGGGTTTGTTCCGAGTTCCTTGCGACCGGCAGACTCGTGCGAGTGTATGCGCGGAGGACGGTCCCGAGTCGAGGCGAGCGGAGATGGCAATTTGTCGACTGCATGTTCTCGACGTGTCCCGACGTCTGCGGGCCAAGTCGACGCCGTCGAAGGGGACAGACGCAACGTCGTCTGGACGCCTCGAAAGGATGAGAGGCACCAGCACCAGCACCACTCGATTGCTTCAGTCTGCACGATCTGCAACCATCTTGAGGCAAAGTTGCTTCGAGCGGAGACTGTCATTTCACAAAAGAGGGCACAATAAAGAGTTTAGTGGATAGAGCTGACTAGGAAATGTCGACCGACTCCAAGACGTTCATGTCGACGCAGTCCACCCGTCGTCCTACCTCATTTATGATGAAAGCAGACGAAACTTCCCTCCACCGACCGACTCGCCTCATCATGGCTGGAAGTCATTCTTTCAAAAGTCTCAAATTAACAAATACAAAGTCAACAAATCTGTCCGCATCTGTCTTGCCTTTTATATTCACTCATGACTTAAGGCGGAAATGTGCACGCATAAATAGATAAACAATGATTGGGCTAGAAATGGGTTGACCTCGTTGTCGCAACTTGGTCTTGTGTTCAAGGAGACCATGTAGAACGCACCGAGTCCCAAGTCGTC